TTTTTTTTTTTTTTTCCAAATACCTTTACTCACCCGAACCCCCCCCAACCAAAAAAATATTTATTTATGTTTTTTTTGTTCGAGGGGGTGGGGCTGGAGTTGTGCCGCCCCATGGCACTTCCAGAATCCCCAACCCCCCTCCCCACTGGCCGCCACGTGGCTTCAAAGCTGCACGTCCGCGCAAACGCGTCCGCGGGGTCGGCGGCCTGGCCGCGTCCGCGGATTCTGCCGCGCTTGGCCGCCGCCGACGGGGATTCATAGCTGCCGTGGCCCAACCGTGGGGCCGAAACACCTTTTGTTTTTTTCGTTCCAGCCGCAGCGCGACCATACGACGGAATAATAATTAAAAAAAAAAAAAAAAACCGTAGCCGCAGCGCAACAAAAAAAAAAAAAAAAAAAAAACTCGCAGCCGCAGTGTGAACCAAAAAAAAAGAAAAACTGTTGTTTGATTTAAAAAAAAAAAAAAAAAGCGATGTTTTTTTTGCCGATTTGAACTTGGACGACGAGGATGTTACCATTAAGTGTTTTTTTTGCCGTTTGGAACTTAAAGTGTGACCCAGGAGCAGTTATCCCAAAAAAAAAAAGGAGAAAAAAGAAAAAGGAAAAACTGCTGGTCAAGCTTTGCTGAAGCGCCTGTGCGAGTTCTGTTTTTTTGGCCGGTGCGGCCAGCCGTTTTGGTCGGGTGGCACCCGGCCTCAGAAGAATGTGGTGTACCGGATTTTTGTGTCTCGAGTTTGTCTGTGAAAGGTAGTGACCATTTTAGAAGTTGTGAGAGCCAGTGTTGTATCGGTCCCACACTGCCGCCACCTAGTTGTCCCTCCTTTTCGCGTTCCGAATCTTCTTTTTCTTTTCCTATTTTGTTATTCTTCTTTGGGTCCCATAATCTCCCATTTACAATTCAAATCTGCCAAAATTGTAGGAATTGCATTAGGGTAGGAGAATGGTACAATGGTAGGGTAGGCATTGCTGTCAATTCACTTTCTAATTTGTTAAACCAGTGACAGATAAAGGCCCAGGTAACAATGAATATTTTGAAATTGTAGGAATTACATTAGGTTAGGAGAATGGACAGGGTAGGAATTGCTGCCAACTCAGTTTTAATTTGTTAACCCAGTAACTGATAATGACACCCGTAAATTCCCACTTGTAGATATAGCTTGGATGAACTTACATAAGGGATCTTTTTCAGGCTTTTGTAATGGATTGTGGGATGGATGGCCTGGTAATTTGGGCTATAAGCTAGCAGAGTAATGATGTCTGTATCCGGGTTGATGTGTCACGTGTCAGATCCCCAGCCTTGAATTTGCATTGAAATAAAAACTGATTTTATTTTTTTAATTAAAAAAAAAGAAAATCAAATATAAATGGGGGGGTAGCTTCGGGGCAGTCAGGAAAACAGTGTGAAACTGCACTTCAGGCAATCGCGCGAACACAACACACCCCCACGTGACCCCACGGGACCCGAAACGTAGGTCATTGCCAGCCTTTTTGCTTCACCGTCGTTTTCTCTATAAAATATTTTTCAAAACAGATAGAAAAAGAATGGGAAAAGTTACAAAACCTTCCCGCGGCCAAACCGCTGTATTCATTTCCCCCAAATGGGGCAAAAAGTGTGGCAGGCCCCAAAATGACATTTCCTGTCATTTTTGCACCCTGGCTGGTCGGTAACGCCGCTGTGCACACATGGGGGGAAAGTGTTTTACAGGGTGCAAAAATGCCCCAAAACTCATTTTGGGGCTGGGACACTTATTGGCCCGTTTGGGGGAAACGAATACAAAGGTTTCACCTCGAGGTGTTATAACGTTTCCCAAAAAGAAATTTCTCAAAAGAGGCTGTCCTTCTTTTTTCTTTCTTGTTTGGAGTTGTTTCCTTTTGATGTGGAAAGGGGCAGCATCCTGGAGATACCATAATGGTCTTTGAACTG